CTTACAGGAGATGTATAAAAACACTACAAGAGGTCCATGTCAATCAAAGGATAAAGGCTGAGGGGAGGGTTAAAGTAGTAATTGTACCTTCTGTAGCCTCTATGCAAGTCAAAACATGCCCAAATTGGGACCAAAATATTTACCTTGAAGTAACAAGGCATACAGAAATCCTGTGATAAGAAAATCAGGCCATTTTTATTAGTAGTAAAAAGTCCACAGTAGGGCATTGTGCTTCTATGGTGTTGAGGAGTGGGGGGTTCCTCTCCAGGATTTTTACTTTGCATGCTGTTATGATTTTTCCATCAACTCACTCTCTTTAAAACTGATTTATAGGAACCTTGAAAACCGTTTGTGCAGGAAAAGCTGAAGTGTACTACAGGGAACGTTGAAAACAACTTACTGTTTGTGTTGCTTAGGAACACTCCTGCAGTTTCAATGCACTGCACTAGATTTATAGTTAGGATTTAGCAATTGTTTGATTGATTACTTTCTCTTATTCCTTACCCTTCATAGCTTCATGTGGTGAGCTGGTTTTAATGAAGTTGAAAATTATTCATTTTCCGAGGAACAGTGCTAAAAATGTCTGTTGTTCAAAGGAAGTCCTGCAATGACTAGGCTGAGAATGAATAAGAAAGTAATCAGTGGTTTCATTTCCAAGACAACATGCTACAATTTGCTTGTGCCCGTGAGCAGAGCTTTACAGTATGTTGGAAAAAAAAAAAATCATAGCCAATCAGTTCCTGTAATTTTAAAGCATCAATACAGTGACCCAGAAAATATTTGAGAGTATAAGTGTTGTAAAAACAAAAATATATTTTTAAAAGGAGAAAGAATGAAAGCAGGAAAGTCTAGGTTTACAACTGGCACCATCTTCTTCAGTGAACCTGAGAGGCAGCCTAAGAACCCTTTGATGTCATGCACATGTACTGACCTAAGAGCATACTGTACATTTTTCTGGGTTATTTTTTGAGGAGGATAAGGGGGAGGAGGAAAAGCGAGAGAATGCTTCATAACAGACATATGTTTTTCCTTGGGGAATTACACTAACAGTAGATTTAAATCAAATCATATGGTGCTGCAGTACACCAGAGAAAACATATCTGAAGATTAAAGAAGCCAGTGTTTTAAGGCCCTCCAGTTTTACTCTTTTGCAGTCAGCGATTGTGTGTGCTTATTTGTGTCACGGTGCTACAGCACACCCTAAAGAGCAACCCATGCATTTGCACTTCTTAGGCCTTCACAGAAAAAAAAATAAATTGCCTAGGTAGCATTCCCTATGCCAAGCAGCAAAGGGGTATGCAACATATTTGCATTTGTCTACATTTCCCTAGGTCCTGTGCCCGAGGTGCTCTCGCTCTCCTGTTCCTCCTTGGGGCTACTTGGATTTTTGGGGTCCTCCACGTCGTCCAGGGCTCCGTGATTACAGCCTATCTGTTTACAATCTTCAATGCATTTCAGGGGATGTTCATCTTCATCTTTCTTTGTGTGCTGTCCAGAAAGGTGAGTGTCCTTATGGGGAGCCACAGGGTCCTCAGCTGTGCCCAGGACAATGCCTAGACTTGAAGTGGAGCAAAGTCCTAGTGTGGACGGCTTTTCAAAGCAGGAAGAAACCCTTGTTGGGACTGGGAAGGGAAGACGGGAAATACTGCTGTTGCCTTCTGGGGAGACAGAACATCTTTGCTCCTATTTTCTTCCTGTTTTTTTAAAAAAAACATACAGAAGATCAAAAAATGAACTTGTAAAACTCACCAGTAACCAGATGAAGCAATGCAATGGATGCAGTAAAGCTCAATTCCATTCTTTGCAGTTAGTAACAGGATTCACATTCCCCAAACAGTTTTGAGATTATGCTTTTTTCAGTGTCCTGTCCTACAGTTGCAAGCATCCCCACCTTAAAATATCTAATGAAGTGATTCATACTCAATTAGTAAAAACACATAAAAATATATATATAAATTTATCTATTTCATGTTTGGATTCAATATTTTTCTTTCAGATTCAAGAAGAGTATTATAGGTTGTTCAAAAATGTTCCTTGTTGTTTCGGCTGCTTAAGATAAATAGAAGGAAAATCAGCGTGAGCCTCTTGGTGGAAAAGGGGAGCAACCTAGATCATGTCACTATGGATATTACAGGAAAAAGTGGTATTGTACAAGCATGAAATGGCTGAGTGGGAATATTTCTTAAATGATTTACTGACTGCTTTTTTACGTATGTGTGCATTCATGCAAAGCATTTATATTATGCTGTATACAAACAGCATACAAAACAAACTGGATTATCACAGAACATATATTAACAAAGACCGAGGAAATAAGAAAATTTTAAAACGAGCTCAGGACTTTTCATGACTTAGGTTTTGTTTCTGATATTGGAAATATCTTCAGCTCTTGGAAGAGAAATATCAAGAACCAGCTAGCACAGCAGATTTTATTAATCACTTGATAGTGGAATCATACTCGCTGTCTTTCTGTAGCAATGAGCTTCTTACATTCAGTTGTATATGACCATCTGCAGTGAATGGGTTCCATTAAAAAGTCAATAGATAAAGATCTGCTTCAGCACAGACTTTTGAAAACATTTCTTTTAATTTAAAGTAGATTTAAAAAGGAATTTGTTTAATATTATTCTCTTATCGCTCTGAAATATATATCTGTATATTAATCAATTCTTTATTTTTATAACTTTCAAACAATAGTTTAGATCTGAAGGAACTGAGGTCAGATCTGATGCAAGAATGGTATCAGTATGGGACAGCCATTTCGTAAGTGAAAGGTTATTTTGTGAATACTTTGAAAAGGATCTGGTTCTTGTTTTATTTAATTGCCAAAAAGACTGAGATCTGCTAAACTGGCACTATGATCTGGGAGGCATTGGGAAGGAAATACTTTATGAAGTTTGTCACTTGGTAGGGACATGTGGAATCCAAACCACATAGGATCAAATGGAGGATCAACTGAAAAATAGACTGGTAGAATTCACCTATGTAAAAGAGTACAGATTTAAATTCAAGATCATGTGCTTCCATGAAATTGTAATTACAGCAGTTTGCCCTATTTGTAGCACCCTTGAGTCAACCATTTCTCTTCCTCCAATGCTCCTGAATTTAGAACATTTATCCTGTGTTTATCCTTTAGAGCACACAAAGATCTGCTGAAATCAGAGAGAACTTGCTGTGGTGCAAGCTTTGCTGCATCAGGGCATAGATGTGTTACATCAGCATTTCCAGCTGTGCCATCATACTCATATACATTTTTAAAGTATGCTTTAATTTCATTCTTTTAGCACCTAGTTAATGTGAAGCACTGAGGCTCATTCCACATTGCCTTCTAAGGAAGTGTCTAAGATCTCAGAAGAAGTCATTTATTTTTACCAGTCAGACACTGTAAATATGTAGTTGTTAATAAATCCCGCTGTTGTTTTGTCTGTTAAAATAAAGTACTACTCTGAATTTTATTTATATTAAAGGAATTCTTTTTTTTTTTACTAACAGAAGGATTTGTTTGGATTTTATCTTTTTTCCATATACACAAGGCTTTCATTGTATGTACAGCAATGATGTGCTTCATTATGTATATTCCATGTCTCTGTCAAAATTTTGGAAACCACAAGAGGAATCTCTTTTTTTCTGGGAAAAAAAAAAAAAAAAAAAAAAAGTATTTCAGATGGTCCTTTGAATGTAAAATATGTGAATAAACTGAAATGCTTAGCTTTCACATTTTAACATATTTCCCTTCATTTAAATAAATACAGTGAAAAAGTTCTCATGGTTATATATTATTTGCCCTGAATTATTTGCTGTATTTCCTTTGCTGCTCTGTATGTTCCCCCAGGTTTGCAAAAATGCAAATATTACTCAGCAGAGTCTTTTTAGAAGGATATCTATTAATGCATCATTTTTTAATTTCTTGCAGAAGTATAACATATACTAAGACTGGCTAGGCAGAGTAGTATCTCTAACATAATGACTTCAGCATGCTTAGTGCAATTGAAAAAATTTCCTTGGAAAGAAAATATGTCATGAAGTGTTTAGGTTACAATAGTCTTTTTAATGAAATAACATCTTTTATAGGAAAACCATGCACTCCAGGATCTGAGTCAGATCGTCATTGAAACTGGATTTTCCTTACATGCAACGATGAGATTTATGTTTTAATACAGTACATAAGAGCAGATAAACTTTGTTTAGATTCATCACCTTCAAGCCTGAAGGATATTGTCATTGTCCTCCCTAAAGCATGCAGATATACTGATGAGAAATAAAAGGGTTTATTTGTCACTGCCCTTACTAACATAAACCCCAGCCCAGCAGAAAGGGAGAAGAGGTAACAGACATAAACTGAAAAAAAAAAAAGATTTCAGCATGACAGCAGAAAAATCTTTTTCAGCATGAAGCTAATTGAGGATTGCAAACGGTTTTCCAGAGAAGTTGCGCAGCTGTGTTAAAATCTTTGGAGTTTTTAGGACTGGATAAAGCCTCTAGCAACCTGATCTCATACCTGACCCTGCTTTGAGCAGGACAGGGGATGAGATGACCTTCTGAGGTCCTTTCCAGCCTGAATTATTTCATGAGTTTAGGATATTAAGTATCAAACTGAAAAAAATAACAGTTGGGCATCAGTTACAGGCAAAGTAAGGAAACCTGTGCTCAAGTCATCCATCAGCTGAACAAGTTGCTTTCCCAAAAATAAATGTGACCTATTTGTCAGATCAACTGGTAACTAGTTGACTGGTTTGATGTATTCAGCATCTTTTCAGACTGCATTCTTTTGAAGGGAATATGACATCTCCAGGTGGGGCCAGCAGGAAAAAAAGACTCAAAACAGTGATTGACAAGACAGATAAAAGTAAAATGTTAAGGTTTCACTCTGAAAGCAAGTGCTTGCTGAAGAGAGAAATTGTTCTCATTAAACTAATCAAAGAGAAATTTGTGTTCAGTGTTGCATTTCATAATGTGCTTCAAAATATAATAAATAAGGTCAGAATTAAAAATGACTGGTTTATTCTGAAATAATTGTTTCTTCAAACATGTATTTTAAGGAAAAGGCAACTTTTTAGAGTTAATTATCATCACAACCTTTGGGAGTTTTAGTTTGGCAGAGCTGTGCTGATGGCCAGCTGATCTTTACCTGCTGGGATGAAGTAGGTAGACACAGACTGCCCAAAGTGGCTTCAGACTTTCCTCTGCTCATCAGTTTTCACAGTCCTCAGGACATGGTGATGCTTTGAATTCAGAAATTTGTATGCTTGTGCATCTTTTCAATTAGACATTAAAAGGAATGTCGCACATGGTGCCATTATGCAGACAGAGCAAACATTTGCAGGGCAGGTTCCAGCAGATGCATCTCTTCACACCAATAGTACTACCTTTTACATCTTTGTCATGATATTCCTTTACAGACCAGCTCAGAACCACACTCTTGGCAGGTGTCTGTTAGTCACAAAAGTCCAGTGTTCTTCTTTGAGAACTTCATAGATAGGATTAAAAACTGAAACTTAACCCATGAAGAAAGTTAAAAAATGTTTTCCTTTGGTAAAACAGGAGGAGGGGAAGGGCCTCGAGACAACATCCTTCTGTGTTACTCTTTTCTCTCTGTTCTTATGCATTCGGGACACACAGCATTACTGTGCTGTGAAATTACAAAAATAAAGATATTACCTCACCGAAGTCAACCCCCAAAGCTATTTTTATATAAAATTAAGCCTGTAAGACTGATGCAGACTTGGAAATAGCTAGCCATCAGTACAGCAATACTCCATCTAACTGCAACCAAAACATCGAGTGCAAATGTGTGAAAGTATTTTCGCAAGTTGCCTGGCTCCCTGCCAGCCCAGCCCTCATAGCCAATGCTGTGAGCAGCCCGATCATACAGACTGCAGCAGAGTGAAAGACCGTGGCGCCTTTTTCAGACTCTGAATCTCCATGACAACCCATTGAACAAAACCATACGGAGAACCAAGAGCCCTCAAGCATCCAGGCTTTGCCAGGAGTCATATACATGGCCACACATGGTACCTGGAGATCCTGGAACTGCTGCTTCAAAACAAGCCTCGAGATATGACTGTGAGCACCATAATTCTGTCAGCTTTACTGTTATGCAGCACAATTGACAGCAGCAATTTTACTAGGTGAGAAAAAAAAAAGACCAGAAACTGAAGGGGAAGAAAAAGAAATAAACAGAAAGTAGCAGTAAAGCCAACTGCTGAGAATGTATTAATATTTTGCAATCTGAAGCCAAGCGAGAAGGTAAAAAAAAGAAAAAAAAAAAAAAGAAAGGCACAGAAATTATGACACTTAAATATGATTATTGACAAATTATATTTATGATAATAAGACCCTATTTTGTTTTTCTTGAGGCCTTAGTTTTACAGCTTCACAATGTAGGTCTGTCCTTTTCCAGGAAATCCTTCTCCTGAGCTATCCCTTTAAATTTGGCAGAAGCTGTGCTTGTGTAGAAGTTGTTTTACAGCTCTCTGTTTTTTCTCATCTTGCTGGTAAGTACTCAAATTTTATCGTGTTTACTCTTTTGGATTCCCAAGGAAATAGCATATTTTCATCCGGTTTCATAACATAGGGGAGTTTTTCTGTTTTCTGAAGCATTGCTGGATGTTCTAATTAAAACCAGCTCTAAGATTAGCCATCAGTCTTCACTGCAGTGCAACAGGCACATCCCTCCCGTGTAAGCCTTTGTATTTATCATAGCTATTTGTATAAATGCTGTAGTCAGCTCTGAATCCATGTAAACCTAACACCATTTAAATTAATTTTGGAAGAGTTTTGCGAGACACTGCTGAATAATTTAGTCAAATCCAAGATGATTACAACCAGTTCTTCTTTATAGTAGCTAAGTAAGTTAGAACTGTTACGCAAAAGCTTTTTCTTGTTGCTGATTTTAAGAGGCAATTCTGTTTATATTGTAAAATTTTGTGGGAAATACTTGGTTGCTAATATCCATAAATCAGTTATATTTTAGTCAGGGTAGGGATGTATTCCTCCTGTGTTAGGCCCATTATTATTGAGACTAATGGATTGAGTAAGAGGCAGCAGTCTTCAAAATCCCTTTCCTCTTTGAATGTTTCTGCAACGAGCAGACTTCTGGCACCACCTTGGCTTCTGATGGGTTTCAGAAATAATTGTTGATGATACAGTAAATTTGTTTTCTATCCCTTGTGCTTAAATCCCAGTCTCACAAACACTCATGCATTTGCTTGGTTTTATGCACGACTAAGTCTTTGGCGTTAATGAGACCGCTCATGTGCATAAAGCTAAGCATATGTGCAAGTGTTGCATGATCAGGGTCTTAGGATGCCAATTTGCAGTAATAACAGATTTGCATAAACTCACGATCCCAAGCACTGTGCTCCCTGCTCATTATCAATAGTGAAATTCATTTAGCTGTTTTTCATTCAGTGATGTTGTGGGTTTTGTTTATTTTTGCTTTTCTTTTTAAGGTGAATTTAAGGATGGTTTTCTTGACACTAATGAGTTATTGCTGATTTCATCTTTATTTTCCGTCATATATATGGGAGCTGTTCTCTCTGTTTGCAAATGCCCACTTTCCCCGTGTTATTATCATCTCATTCATGCTAGCAATAAAAGATCAGATCACTTCTAAAACTGAAAATATGTTCCTTGCTGGATAAGAAAGGTGGAGAAACACCATGCACAAATTTCCAGCTCATCAAACTTCTGTGAACAAGTCATGGCTTCTGTCACCAAGGGGTTAGGCCCAAAACTAAATTAATAGCAGCTGTAACCCATTTAGAATAGATGCCAGCCAAGGGAGAGGCAGCTTGAGCACCTCTTCAGCAGGTGGCTTGATGGAAGCAGAGAAAAGTAAAGTATATCCTCACTGAAACTGTAGCTTGTGTTCTAGTGAGAGATAATCCTCCTTCTTACTCTCATCTCTGGCTTGTTTTTTTTATGATCTCCACTTAATGCCTATAATATAACTTCTAAAGACTTCAAAGTTCAACTCCTCCTTATCAGAAGCAGTGGTGCATACAGAGCTTCTCTGAATGGATAAGGCAAGTACCAATGAGAACATACATACCTTTCACAGACCCTCCCCTCCTTGGTTTGCCTGGTTCATATACAGTTGTTTTCCAGCCCCAAGTCTGGCCTGCAGAGGATGAAGTGAGTTCAGGATTTTACTTTGCAGTGGGGAATTGCTCTTAGTGCTGCAAATGGCAGTACTTGATGGGTGGTAAAACAAAGGCTTGACTGTCTGCTAACTCACACGTGGGAAGTTTTCAAAGATTGGGAGGGAAGAATAGATTCGTGAACAAAATGGGTGGTAGAAGAGTAATCAACCAGAGAACCAAACACTTCTCTGTCTGAACAAGTGAGCCTGATAAAAAGTGAACAGTACAGGGGAAAAGGAGGCAGTGTCATTTTAAAAAGGAGAAAGGGAAGAAAGAAAACAACAACCCATATTTATGGATTATTGGGAAAATGAGAGAAACATCAAATGGTAACAGCTTCCAAGGATGTATCCCCTGAAGCTAAACAAAATTGAAAAGGCATCAACTGAATCTTAAAGCAACTCTCAAAGATGTTCTACTCACTACCTTTTTAATGAATGATCTGTATGCAATACTTCTAGGTTACAAATATTATGGGTTAGTGAATTGGACAGCACTATACTGAAGAACCATCAGGAAAAAGTTTACAATAATAAAGCAAGAGGGAAAGATCCTGTGGTTCTGCTCAGCTTCCATGAAACCATGTAAGCCACTGTGTTTTATATACACTATCACATGTTTTGAATGATCTTACTTGGTTTTTTTTTCTTTGATAAGTATGACTTTCTTAAAAAAAAAAATTATATATGTATATATGTAGAGATACATAAGCTGTAAGCCACAAATGAATTATAGAATAGCCTTGGTTGAAAATGGCCTCAAAGATCATCATTTCAACACCCCTGCTGTGGGCAGGGTTGCCAACCACTAGATAAGGCTGTCCAAAGTTTCCTTCTGGGTGTGACAGAAACTGTATGTACTGGGTACATACACCTCAGATACATCCTTTTCTGCATGTTATCTGCACTGAGAAGGATGAGCAGGAGTACACTTTGTGCTTATGCATAGTCTACAAAAGTAGAGTAGTATAAAGCCTTTTTTTTTTTTTTTTTTTTTTTTTTTTTGAGATCTGTCCTTTCTTGTGGTCAATATCATTCCAGCTACTTGAAGGACCAAAGGCTTCTCTCAACTATGTACTGCCTACAACCCTATTGGAAATGCTTACATGTTGCATGGTTATTTCATAGCTATTTTAGACCTCTTCCACCAGTTCTTCCCCCAGATCAGCAGTACTGATGGAGGATGTTGCAAGTGACAATTTTGCTGTGTCTATTCTATGTACAAAATGTGCTGGTGAAGGACCTTATGTAATGACAATGAAGCAATAGTATCTTCTTTAGGGCTTGTATAGTGCCAATACATGCTGACCTTGGAGGTCTTATTTGTCAGGTTCTGCAGATGAGTATTAGTGGCTGTTTGTCAAAGCAAACATCCTCTCCAAGAAATGTCTGTGCTTGGGTCTCCCTTTTCTACAGCAGGAAGAATGGAAGGCAGTCCCAAACAGTGCATGGAGGTAGAAAAATCTGCCTGCTGTTGTGATAAACGCAATGACTGAGCCAGATTCAAGTTACTTCAGCTGTTTGCTAAGGGAAAAAAAAAAGGAAAAGACTGATAGCAACATAGAATTAGTGTGTGGTCCCAGCTGTGCACAGAAGCACACACCCCTTGAGGTACGAGGCTGGTGCTGTGCTCTGGGAAGATGAGCAGGAGTTGGTCCTGGTGGAGAGCCCTGCCTAGAGGGCTACCAACATGCCCACTGGGCTGAGAGAACCTGGCCACTGCTGTTGCCAAACAGCACAAAGCAACCAGGAGGTCCCAGAGAAGACCGCGCAGGAAGGCTGAGATAAAGTGGAGAAGGATAAAAAAAAATGATGTTGGTAATAAAGCCCCTTGTTCAGCATTACATGAAAGCATGTTGTCTGTGATCTGTACCACTTATGCCTTTAAGAGTACTTCAGCGGATTCCTGAGATTTCACAATGCTTTACTTTAGTAAACCTAAATTTCAAATTGTAACTCCCACATCTGTCACTAATGAGGGCAGCAAAACTTTGGAGATTTCTGAAAGACATCTGGAGCCGCAGAGAGCAAATTCTCTGGAGGCCAGCCCAGGAGGAAGGCATTAACCCTCTCAGTGCTGATGGAAAACAAGGAATGCCAGCTACTCTTACTGAATAAAAGAACCTGTACATACCTGAAAGTCCTACTGCAATTATTTTCAGCATAACACAGCTTCTCCACAAGCCCAGGGCCCTTCAAAGTGTAATCACAAAGGCAGCGCACAAAGAGGTTGCATTGTCCCTTAGCAGGCTGGAGCAAGCTGCGGCTACTAAGTACAGGGGTGGAAGTGGCAGACCAGAGTCCCATTGTGTGCTCCATCTGAACGGAGCGACTCCTGCTCCTCAGATAGCTCTGCTCCCTACATCTAGCTGTCGTAGCGCTCTGGCTTGGCTCCTGCGAAGTAGGCACTTGCGACAGACACGCCCGCTCCTCTACCACTTCTTTGTTTAAATGAGTTCAAAAGTTCCCAGTTTCCTGACAACTTTTTTTCCCTCTTTTGTTTTATACCAATCAGTTAATTTGCTAACATTACCCTCCTTATCTCCCGATCTTAGGCAAGCTGGCTGGGTTTACTGATGTCTTTATCGTGCATTCCAGCCATCACTGAGGAATGCAGGTCGGGAGGGAAAGGAGGAGGGCGACTCTTCTGAAACTGGAAAGGGAACGAGGTCAAGGTAGTGGGGCAGGCAGCAAGGGTGGAAGTGCAGAAAAGGGAGGTGCTTTAAAAACAAATTCACTAATCCAACTGCTGCTCAGCTTTGTCCTGCTCTGCACTGCTAGAGATCTTTTTTGTTTTCCTTTCTCTTTCTTTTTTTTTTTTTTTTTTTTTTTTTTTTTTTTTTTTTAGTACTTGTTTTGCCTGTTATAAAATCTTCAGGACATAATCCTATTGTTCTTTCCATGCTTTACAAAGTGGTCCAGGTATTCCACATGACATGCTTTCATTAACTTCCTATCAAGGAGTCCATTTTGAATGGAAACATTAGAACTGCTTGGAAATTGAAACATTTTTCACAAAAGATGATGGTTGCTGTTTTGAGACCACTTCACTTTTTAGGCAGAATTACTGTCTTAACCAAATACAGAGCTTTTTAAGCTCTCTTCCATAAGATTTACTGTTACTCAGATTTACAGGATAGTGAATGAATATAGAATGCAACTTTGTCTTCATTACAAAAGGGACAGATATTTAGGATAAAAAATACTAATTGAACAGATTTATTAAAATAAAATATTGTTGTTTTGCTTCGGTATGTTGAGCTTGTTTGTGTGAGTGGAATAACCAGACAAGCTGATAGGTTTTTTTTCCCCACTGCTCTGGATGTCCTGCGTGAGCAAGACAGTCCTACTTTATCTCTTATTATATTCTTCCAGATCATGGTTGATCACAGAGGCATGACCATGAGGAAACTTGTCTTTACTTTTGCCAGCTGCATACCAATCAATAGAGAGAAATCCATTTTCTTTCTATCAAGCACTGAAGAAGAAGAAAGGGGCTGTCTTGTGTGCATGTGTCAGAGTATACAAAAGTTTAAAGTAAACTCTTTCAACTAACTCTTTTTCCTGGCAGACCTTTCTCTGCCTTCTACTGGCTGAAGGGCATTGTAGCTCATGCTGTAAAAGGGGAAAAGATCTGCTGGCAGAGACTGCTTGTTTTAAGCTTCTATTTGTTTTGCCTCCACTCTAGGAAAGAATGCAATATTTCTACAAAACTCTGATTATTGTTGTTTTTTTTTTTCGTTTTGTTTCCCCCTTGACTGACTTGAGCACCGGCAAAGCTCTCAATTGACAAACAGGAAACTGAAGGGATTCTAGTCCCTGTAGGACAGAGACAGCAAGGACTGCTGCTTTGAGCTGATCCTCTGTGAGGGAACGACTATCACCTGCCAATAACCCACATGCTTAGGTGCAGATTTTCAAACTGCAGCCACCTAGGCTCAAGCACAGGCATTGAAATCAATGCCCTGACATTCAGGAGTTAGTAACCCACTTTAGCTGCTAATTTTAGAATAGAATAATGTAAATAAATGCTGGACTGTGGGTTTAGCCAGCTGATCATTGCTCTTGGAAATGCCTCAACTAAGCAGTTCCCACTTTGAAGAGCAGTATTCAAGGTTCAGTTTCCATACCACTGACACCACACTGACAGAGAGGGTGCATGCCACAGCCAGCACCAGCTGAGAGCAGTACCAGGAGGCAGCAGGCCCAGGATGCTGCAGGCTGCAGTTATTGCTGCCTGATGCCATGCCACAATGCAGGCCACTGCTTCTAACTGCCTGCCCTAAAGCAGCTGAAAACTGAGTTGTTTTAGTTATTTCCTTTGTTATCTACTGTGGACTTTAAATGTGTATGTGCATGCTTTTGCCCTGACTGGATGAGAATGAAGCTGAAGACTTAGAAAGGGTAATTTGGATATAATGCTCAGTGCAGAGTGGTGCTTGTCAGGGTGATATGGTATCTGGCATTCTGTATCAGTTTTCCATGTATAAGAACAAGTTTTAAAAGGGAGGATCATCCGTCCTCTTAGCAGAGGAGTGACTGCAGGAAGGCAATCACCGTTGCATGATCTAGTGTTTCTGAAATGTGACTTACATCCAGTTGCTTGATAATGGAGCAAGGGCTGTTTTTCTCCCTTGCTTGTTTTTTGCTGTTTTGTTGTTTTATTGTTGTTGCTTGCATTTATATTGCCCTGCCACTAGGGATGAGCAAAAAGAGCAAGAGAATAGAAATGATGAAAGATGAAAAGCTGAGACTTCTCCCCTCCACTGTCTTAGCTGCACATCTCTACAGCCATAGTTAGGTTTTCTGTGTTCTCAGTTGCAAAATACCAGTGATAGGAAAGCAGCTGCTTTCTTCTCCTGTCTTCCCCTCCCTAGCTATTTTAGAAGAGTAAAGCTGATACAGTGGTGTTTTTGAGACAGTTTGACATAGTGGCCATAACTACTTGCTGGCCTTCCCCTCTGAACTACATTGCAGAGGACTTGAACATCACTCAGGCGCTGCATCACAGCAGGCTCAGTGTAAAGCCTCTGCTCTATGCAGAGGCTTTAGCAGAGCTGGAGGCACTATATGGCCTTGGATCAGGTGGGGAGATAGCTGGAAAAGATGCTGAGGAGATTTTGGGGTCCTGATTTTGTGTCTGGCATTTAAAGTGCTCCTTGATGTGCCCCATGCTTCTGTAAGGTCTGACCCTAAATATTGATCTGGAAAGTAGTAGATTTATTTTGGCACTGTGAGCTCCATTTCCCAAGATGTGCAGGAACATAGATCTTCAGAGGCAGAAGGGATTAAAAACTTCACCTCTTGTGTAACGAAAAACTAAGAGCCTTATCCAAAAATGTCTGCCTCGAGCTCCTAGCTGGTGTTGAAATATAGCAGGTCTCTTAAAATTCCAGGATCTCAAGAATTCTTGCCCATTCAACCCCTTTTCCTTTCTCAATTCTGCTGCAGCTCTCAAATAAAAAGCTCCCAAAAATATATATGTAAATGTGGGGCATTTTACAACATGCTTGTGAAGCAGGCAAATGGGTTAGGCCTTTGAGGAAGCATGAATAGGTTAGGATTATAATTCATTGTAATGTCATGGCAAGCTACAATTTCAAAGGCATAAGTCCTCCATTTTGTAGCCAATAAAAAATTTAAAGGAACCAAAACCCAATTTGCTTTATAATCAATAAAATGTACAACTTCTTTATCTTATTAGAAGAGGTTGTAGGTTGCAGTCAACCATTGTCAACAGACCGTTTGATCTGTCGGTGAAACAAATCATTATGAGGAACACAGCTCTGCTGCTGTGGTTTTGCGGTGTTTTTAATGAGGACTGGAAATACTTCTATTCCATTACAGGACTCAAAAGTGAATTTGTGGAGTCACACCCAGGCTCAGAGTACAAGATTGAGTTTTAAAGTAATTAGCTACACTACCCCAAGTACCTCAGTGGATTAAGGACTCATTCAGAATAGAGCTGCTCACTGTTTCTGTGCATGCATTTAAGCTAGGCTGCTGTTATGTGCTGGTCTGTTTCAGCCTAACCTTGGAACTGCACAGGATTAGGGAGCACATGCGGCTGCTCCTGAAGGGGCTAGCCAAGGGGAACCAAGATACTGCTATGAAGAGAGACAGAAAGGAGGAGAATACGTGGCAGTGTGTGAGGGCGTGAGTGGCTGCTTGGCAAGTGCTCCCCACTATGACTGTAGCAGTCCCTTCAGTCAGTGGCACTGGACCCACACGTATGCCTTTTGTTCCTTTGTGTTCTTTAAACTGTTGGGCCATATAGTAGTGTGCTGAAGGTGACTTAGGACAGACTGAAGCTACAGATGTGGCTTCTTTGAGTGCATTTCCTATTAGGAGCCCCCCAGCCCCAGGGCAGTCCCCCTGCAGTACCATGACCCACAGAGTCAAAGCGGGGCTTGGCTTACTTCCAACCCAAGGGGAAATGTGGGTCTCACAGAGGAGGGGTGCCCTGGGGTTCAAACCGATTTGAGCTTGAGATGGGAAAATCAGGATAAAAGCTTCTGTGAAAGATATTGTCTGAATTCAAAGGTGATGCTAATGGCAGGCATACCCTTAGGTCATATAACTCCTGAAATAAACTACAAAGTAGCCCAGTAAGTCAAGGAGAACAGATTTGCAGCTCCTCCTCCACCACAGACGGTGTTTTTGGCACTTAGCTCATAAGAAAAAAATCTCATCCACTTGGCAAAATACAGGGGGCTGGGAAAAACAGCACCTCCCTTGAGACCTCACTTCCTGGTGGGGGGCTGCTTTGCAGAGCAGGTAGCAGTGCCTTAGGAAAGCACTGTGGGGAGGGGGCTGCAGCAGCCAGCCCTGCCCTGGCTCCCTGGAGCACTGACTTTGGTATCCCCTCTGCAGCCTTTGGAGCTGCTTCAGAAGCTGCTTGAAGCTGGATGGGGCCCAGAATTGTCAACAATCTGAGTAGCCTCCCGTTGTCCTGCTGTGAACTGATTATCACATCTAACAAAATAATTTGCTGGAACAAATAACACTTCAGGCTCTGTTGTTTCAGGTGAAACTACATCCTAGTAAGTATAAATTTATAATACCAGCCACAGCATTATGAGTTTCCCAACAGTCAAGCTTAATTCAAATGCATATTTCAGACCCTTACGGGGACACTCTCATCTTCGAACGTTGGGATTTGGAGATTTACACACATAATTCCCTTTAACACTAATAGGAGTTACAGTATGCACATATATTCCCTTCTTGATGCAGAGAGTCCCCCGTGAGGATAATAAAGACGTTTTAAATTCTGGTTCCGTGACGTTTTGCTGTGATGTTACATATGCTCAGACACCAGCCCCTGTTCTTTCCACGAGGGATGTCCCTTGCAGCCCTCACAGTCACTGCTGTGTGCCCACCTCGGCTGAGACATGAGTTAGGGGTGGACAGCGTGAAAGCGCTTACGACGGATGCTGATGCTGATTTAAGCATGAGAAGCACCCGTTTGCCTCTATCCCAGAGATGAAAAAGGTGTTTGCAAGCAAATGTTCTATCCTTTGGCTGCTAGCTCTGTGCCCCGCAGCCTGCCGGGGCCAGCGGCAGAGCCTGAGTGCCACCTGCTGGGGACAGGGCTCTGAAGGAGGGCGGCAGCTGGGCGCAGCTGGACGGTGGGTTCTCCACGAGAACCCGAGCCTGAGGGGCATGTGGAGCTGGAGAGAGCAGCGTGAGGTTCGGGGTGGTATAAATAAATGTGGTGGTGATGTGGTGTGAGGGGAACTCTTGGTGGGAAAAGGAAATGCATGTTTCCCTCTCAGTCTGCACGGACTTCATTTAAATACTGAGGGGGGGAGGTGGAAGGGGGAGAAGTGAGCTTAAAGTTTCTTTGGATGGCTAGCTGAAAAAGGGACATAAAAATGAGAACTGTGTTTTGTTCCCTGACGTTTATTTTGCAGCCATTAAGTGTACTGCCTAAAAACTTCAGTAAAGTACTCACTTAAATGGGATTTAACCTGATGTTCAAATGAGCTGCCCAATCAAGGCCTGCAGGGTACCAGAATATCCTCTCTGGAAGTGTACTCATTATACTCTGTTGCATTTGCGATGTTTTGCAAATGCCTGCTTGTCTAACAAAATATACTTACATAAAATGCATTTGTAACATAACAGCACTGGGGAAAAAAATGCCATAAATATTGTACCTTGTCTAACCAAAACTTAGTCATTGCTTTCGGTTCTCTTTTTAGCGAATGTGAAGTTGACCCTGCCGAAGTTAACAGCTTGATACATGTACAAACCACGTGACAGA